ACAAGCTTAAAAAATCACACATAGAGCTTCACACATCCATTGTCATGACATAATTTTCCAACCAACGCATCACAGCATCAATTTTGACATCAAGCGTCCCATTGTCTTCGCAAACACGGACATCACCAGCAAGCGATTTCCTTTAGGCGTTTATTAAATCGTGGAATCGAAAATCAAATATCATATAGTATAAGAGCAATGGATTCAGGTTATTAAATCCATAGAATTCAAAGCAGAATTGAATCCCGTAAGGTTGAATCATTACTAGGTTTCATGACCAGCACTGAGGACGGACACTAGAGTTGGAATCTGGCCAGTGGAATAAAGTGATTTCCAAAAGCGTTGTCTGGTGGTTATTATGAACTGATGGCTTTAACTTCGTGGGATCGTGCCTGTCTGATATTCCTGTAATGCGGTTATTGCCAAATACTGTCATGGCAATTTGTCGATGTTATTTTCATGTTTTTTTTCGCTGTATTTTCTTTTACATCCATTCCTTCTCGTTTTTTTTTTGTTGTTGTTAATTTATTTTTAATTGGCTTATTTTCTAATTTCTTCCCTACCCCGTTTCTCTGTATGGCGCAGTGACAGCGTTCTTGTCTAGCAAGCTTGCTGACCCGCGTTCAGTTCCTACTTCGCCAGTGGATGGTAACCCCGGCAATCCCTTTACACTGGGGGGTAATTTAGAAGCAAACTGCCTGTCACACCAAACATAAGAATAACCATTGTAACAAATGGAGTTGGCTAAATTAAAATGAACTGAAATTTTTCACTTTTCTTTTACTAACACTCTCTTACATTCTCCTTTTCTCATATTCCCTGTTAGTCATCATTCCTCGTAATTAATTTTCATCTCTTTATTCCCTTACAAACACACACACACACACTATATATATATATATATATATATATATATATATATATATATATATATGTATATATATACATATATATATATATATATACATATATAATATATATTTTTTTCTTCATCTTCATGAACTTATTTTGTTTCCTTTCTTTATCCTCCCCCAATTTATCTTCCACTTCTGATCCTCACTCTTCTCATTTCTTTCACTTCTTCATTTCCCTCCTCTTCCCTTCCATATATTTCCTTTTACACATATACCTAATATTTCCTGATTTCCCTTCCTTCCTCTTCTCTTTCTTCCCTAATATAATTTTTTCGTTTGCTTCCTCATCTCCCCTTGTTCCATCCTCTTTAGTCTTCACTAATAACTAAGACCACCTAAGCATTACGATAATCAGGACTCCCCATTTTTTTTCCTCTCCGTCTCCTCTTCCATCTTTAGAAAATGGGATTCTTGGAAATTTCCCTTGGGACCTAAAAAAGGGGAGGGGCGTGGAGGGATAGGGGGTGGGGGGGGGCTAAACAAAATCAAAATAAGACAAAATAAAAATGACGAGATTGTCATTTGTGTGAGTACGCCTGGAGGAAATTGTAAGACCCCTTCCCCTACCACCCCCATTAACCAACCCTCCCTCCCCATCTATTCTACGTCTCTTTCTTTCCTTCCCTCCCCAACTACTCTTTCCCTTCTCTTTTGCTATTCCCTCCTTCCACCCTACCCCCCTTCCTTTCAACTCGCTTTCCTGCTTCGTTTCTCTCCCAACTACGCTCCCTCTTCTCTTTCCCTCCTCCCTCCTTTTCTTTCCTCTCAACGCTCCTTCTTTTCCTTCCCCATCGATCCTTCCCTTTTATTCTTCCTCCCCACCCTTTCCCTACTCTGTCCTTCCCTTCCCTTCTTACTTACTCATCCCTCTTTCCTTTCCACTTATTCTACCCCTTCCCCGTAATCTTTCCCCTTCTATCTTATCCCTCTTCCCTCCCACCTCGTCCATCCACATTCCCCTTTTCCTTAGTTCTTCCTATTTTTTCTCTTCTTTCCCACCTTCCTGTTCCTTTTCCACTCATGCCTCCTTTCCCTTTCTTCTCTGGACCCTAACTTCTCTAACTTCTTTCCTCTCCTTCCTTGAGGTGGAGGGGGGGGGGGCGGTGAGAGAGAGAGAGAGAGAGAGAGAGAGAGAGAGAGAGAGAGAGAGAGAGAGAGAGAGAGAGAGAGAGAGAGAGAGAGAGAGAGTGTTGTAGAATACGTGCAACAGGATGTGGCAATGTACATTTCCGATTTCATCAATGGTTTTCCAGAACTAGTTTTGTAAAGACTTGAATTAAAAAATCACTACACGTAAGCAACAAAGCAAACAGTTGGCAAATAACACCAAAAGCAGGATTTTTTTTTTCTTTATCGATGATGTAGACGTTGATAAGGAATGTAGCGATGATAACGATGACAACTGTTTACATGAATGAACAGTTATGCTAACTATCATTATGACCTGAAGCAAAGTCCAAATACTACATCTACAACGCCTACCAGCATTTATATTTCTACCTATTCGACACCACTGGACTAAGCAGCACTTCTCTCATTGATCTAAACAAGCTTACACAAAAGTCAGTACACGAAGTCTCCCCAAC